CCTACCGCGTTAAAATCCTGAGTTATTGGGTTTTGCCGATCCACTGCCTTCAAACCTCACCTGAATGCAGAGCGAAACTAAATATCGTCTTTGCATGAACCGTGTTTTTTGGGACAGACCTGTTTTACTCAGAAAATAAAATGAGGACGATACTGTGCAAATAATAACAAAAGCCCGAAAGCTAAAAGCAACGCTCCGATGACAGCGAGATGTTGAATACTATTCCATGTGCCGATTGCTACCCGAGGTTCATCTATGACTGTCTTTGCACAAGAGTACTCCTGAAATCTAAGAATCATATAGCTCGTCAATGGGTAAGGGACTATACGTCGCTGATAGGCTCCTCGCGCAACCAGGCACAAATTTATAACGTCTGTAATAAGTATGGCTGCGTAATCTGTTGCAGATGTCCGTGTGGGACTACCCCTTTCGACGACATATAGTCCTTTACCCACTCGCCAATTGTGTGCAGGATGAAAAGCAACTGCTATTTACCTCTAAGATCCATTCTCTGGCTTTTACTTAATCCGGCATAAAGTCTCTCAGCCCTATAGACATAGGAACGCAACAAACGAATAGCACGCCTAAGTATATCCATGGTCCTTAATTCGGACTAGTCAAAGAAACACGAACGGAAATGGAGGATTAAAGGCGCCGTCCACCCTAAGCTAGTGGTCTTGAGCTTTTGACAGCTTGCGATAGTAGGACCCCGTAGGACCCCCTATTAAGCCAATGCTCAAGTCGCGGCGCAACATGTTGCTTCGGAAGCGAGAAAACCGCTTCTGCGAAGAGGCATGAGGATCGCAAGTCAACGCCGCCCACCGTAATGCTCGCCCGTATCACCATTGCGAAGAACCGGCCTATGGGTTCTCCGGAACGAGGATCTGGGATTCTCAACTTCATACTCGGAACCAGGGACACGAGAACCCTGAACGACCAGAACATGGAAGTAGAGGATCTGGGTAAACTGTGCCGCTAAGCTTTCTGCTTGTAATGAAAGCTATACAGGTGTCCTGTATAGCTTTTATTATAAGAAAGCACCCCCAAAAAACGTGCACACTGTTTGATCGTTAGTAGCTCTCTTTCAAGGTCTTTGTACGAACACTACTTAATAATACGTACAGCTGGCTTTAACTTGAGATATATGGAGCGAATCTTTTTCTAACTCGGTTGCTTAGAATTAGAGCAGGAAGTTTAAAGAGGGTTTTAAGCCAGTAAGAGTCGCACTTTTCCTCAAAAAGGAAATCAGGCAAGCCAACAACTCTTATATTGGGATGAAGAAAAGGACGGATTCTGAATATGAAGTCTAAAGATTACAGTATGCCTCTTCCGTAAGTTATTCCAGTAAACCGTAACGACTGCGTTTTCAATGTCTTCATAAATACGGTTAAACCGCTAGAAAAACACGAAATTTATGAAAATTTGCAATATAATCAGCTGCGTAAAAGCCATGTTACACAATTTTCCAAGTTTTTTGGTATTTTTCTTAACAATCGTTCTATCTCGTGATGACGCTGTATGCTGAAAGTTCCGACCGTATTCTTACAGTAACGAAGAGCAATCTAACGAGGAAACCATATTTAGTCGAAATGGCTTTTTTGGATGGGATGAATACCATATTAGAGAGCATAGAGCGCTTTTAAATCTACCTTCCTTATCTGCGGAACGTTTATGGGCGAAGAGTTATGAGCTCTCATTAGATCAAAACTTACATGCGCAAATACGACAAAAAGTATCGTAATATTTTTTCCAGTGCTTTAATATTAGGTTGGTGCAAAAGTAATGCGCGCTTTGCGAGTTTTCAATTTGACGTGCTATAACTTTCTGAAGAATCCATATTTTTCAGTGCGGCAAAGTTCATCAGAGGCACCAAACCTTTCTCTATACAGCGCACATAAACTTATGCTAACATCGCAAATCGGTGGAAAAATATGGATTAATAAGCAAAAAAATTTTTTTTCTGAAACTTCGTTTTTAACTGATCATAACCTCCTTTAAGATTTGTCGGTATAAATGATAAGTTGACTGTCTTGTAGCCGCAAGCCAGTAGTACAAAAAAAGTACAGAAGGGCTCAAATAAAGATTATTTGCAAAAAGAAAAAAATAATATTCAAAATTGTCCGCTTTTTTCGACATATTTTCGTAGCCCTCAAAATCTCAAAATATGGAGATTCTTGAGTTTCTGTGTACTGAACAGCTCCCACATTTTTGCAAAAACTGTCAACAGGAGGCCCACCCTTGCGCTTACAGAAATGAGCAAAACTTTGGCTATTGCCCTCTTCAAAGGTAATCTATGGGCCACAGAATGGCCGAATCCATCACTCATAGGCGCCGAGATCTCAGTCTAAGTAATTTCTAGGAAAACAGTAAAGCGTGCATAACGTAGAAAATTTCTACTACATACAGTAGTCAAATTTTCAAAAGAATGTCTTTGCTCGCGCTTGAATTCTGTCCGAAAAAGTAAGTGCAATGAAATTCATTTTGAATGCGGTTGTACGAAGCTCTATAAATTTTTAACGAATGAGGCTAGAAGCTTCTTTCAACCAACATTGAATAGAGCATGAAAGAAGCTTCTTGACAATGTGCTGGGTAAGTTTCATAGGAGGAACTTCGATGGAGAAAAGCTATCTTGAAACAAGGGCTAGAAAAACGCGCATTACTTTTGCAAAACCTAATAGAACAGTGGTGATTATCAGAGTACCTTACCTAATGACTCAGATAAAAACATATCACACTTATCTGTTCTTATCTAAGCGTCAAGAAGACTGCAACTCACTTTTTTTTAATGCGCTTTTTCTTTTTTGCTTCAATGAAGGCTCATAAGTCCTCGTCCACAAACGCGTAGTTGAGAAAGGCAGATTTGGGATCAGCATCTTATGCTCTCTAAAATACATGTCAAAAGCCACTTCGAGTGAACATGGTTTCGTCGTAGGTTTAAGCCAGCTTACACAATGGTGCCCAAATACCGGCAGAGAATGTTGAAGCAAGAGAGTTTTTAACGATCAAAGAATGTGCACATTTTTGGGACACCCTGTATCTGAACAAATTACTTATCTTGTAAACACGTTTTCAGAACGTGATTCTGAGGAGTCAACAAATAGCATCGGTATATGAACAGATTCAAAATGGTGGCGAGTAAGAGCACGAGACAGGATGCGAATATGCGAATACCGGTCACCATGGAAAGCGAGAAACACCTCGCTAGGTATGAATCGGCGTAGGCCATGAGGAGAGGAAAGAAGATGACGGGCAAAGTAAGAGTCGTGAATACAAAGTCAGAAGCAGAGGAAACTAGCTGGTAACTAAGGAGCCACCATTTATATGAAGCCATTTGCTTTGTAGATTTTTTCATGATACAAAATACAGCGTACGCATTGACGAGTGGCGTTACGATGGACAGGAACATTACAAAGGTCCGATACACAATTGGATGTGGGTCTAAATCATCGCATATCATCCTTCTGTGTAAATTACTCCTAGTGGGGGAAATAGATTAGCGGTAATTACGTAATCTGATCGACTATAAAAACACCTGTCTCATGAGCGATCTTAGCACGCTGAACTTTCTGAAATTATTAACGCATTGACGATCGCTTGATACACATCGTGTGTCAAGCAATGACTATTACGTGGGACTGCTTAACATACATGGTGTATCAAGGTTCGAATTTAGTAAAATGACGACTCCTGGAATAAACTTACTTTAGGAGTTTTCTTTTACCCTGAAGCTAGAACTGACCTCTATCTATTCTGCCAGTCTCACAGGGCTAGTGTAGATATACTGTAGATGGCAGTATACATGTTTTTATCTGCACGATGCTGACTGATCCGTGACAGACCTTAGTCCCGGAAGGCGGACAACAAAATCTGCATGGTCGTTATTGTGTTTATTGGCTAGTTTCCAGACCGTGTCCGGTGGGTGTGTCACGAAAAGCGATCGTGGGGTTTCAGTCATATTTTGGAGTGACGTGATTGAGCCACTGTATGGATACGGAGTTAAAGCATCACCCAAATTAAACTGAAAAGTTTTGATGATGTACACGATGTGTCAAATGTAAATGAAATCTTTGATGGTTGATAGGTGTCTCCCCACAAAGTAATTTGAGTTTCGAGTACCATTTGGTAGAACAGGCTTCAACTAACATAAGATTAATGCTATGATGCTAATCACTCATTGCTCTTTTTTACTGCAAAACTGCATAAAAAACTTCAACCTACAGATTCATGCGGGGTAGTAGCTGTGTTGTATACAGGGTAAAGCGGGGGGTGCGGCACACGACCGCACACGTCGGATACGACCCCCCCCCCCCCTTGGGCCGGACCTCGGCACGACCCCACCCCCATTCCCTACCCCCTCCCCCCCCCTTCCCCCCTCGCTCTTGAGCTTCACAGCTTCAACTGACTTTCATTTTATATTTTTGTTCTAACAAAAAACAACATTTAACAACGGTGAGATCTTCAGAGATCGATGTAACGATATTAGGCTTGCTCCACACGGGGCGGGCGGGCTGCATCGGTCGGTGTCCCGCAAAGGATGATCTTCTTCTTCAGTAAGAAATAAATGAAAAGAAGCTGGAATAATGTTTTTAGGGTGTTTCAAATTGTGAAATGGGACCTACCACAATGATGAGGATGATTAATGCAAACAAGGCGTTCCTATCTGCGGAAATCAGTACGTCGTTATTGTTGTTAATGTTGTTAGAGTATTTGTTGGCGTCGATTACCATCTTTTCACTATAAGGGAATAAAATTGTATTGTGGGGGACAGAAATATAAATATTTAACAAAACAGTCATATATTTTGCAGGACTTCAACAGCGCTTTCGTCAAGTCAATTTAGTTACACAGACAGCGAAACTAAATTTCTTCTTTTCTGCATTGCATCTCTCATTCAAATAATCAGATTTTTCTTCAAAGACATCCCACTGTGTGAACGACAGCAGAGAAAAAACGCGAACATTGACAATAGCTAACACAATACACAACACATACACAATCAAATGTTAACCAATGTGTTAAAAAGTCCAGTCCATTCAAAGCTTCACGCCTTGACACCAGCACCAGCTAATAAGGACAGCTGCGATTTTGATCTGCCTCCACTCTGGAATGATTTGGAAGTTCCGGAATCGGGTGTAGATGATTCAGATTCTGATTATGAACCGGATTATAGGCTATATTTGCATCATGTGAGTAACTCATTTAAAGTGCGCTCACAATTACGACTGCCCAATTGCCCCCTACCAGTTCCAGGAAGCGGACAGTCCTACTCCCAACATGGTCGCGTATGCCCAACGGACACAAAGACCGCCGTCTCCACCGTGGCCGGAAGTGACTCCGTTCGATTTCAGCGTCCATGGCTGTAGCGAATGGGAGCGTGAAGAGGCCCTGTTGGTGTAAGTATGCTCTAACATCATTGCATGGTTTAGGGTGCAGCGTGATGGGCCTAGCATCCTAACAGTTGAACTTCAACAGTTAGCACTCCAATGGATGCATCCGGCACCGGGACTTGGGCTGGATCCGGGTATGCCATCAAATCTAGCTAAAGAAGGCAGATGAGAGCAGTAAAAGAAAACATTGCAAAAGGTTGAATTCACTTCACATTTTGGAGTTTAAAGCATTCTATGCATCTAGGAGATGCATATGAGTTGGCCAAACTCCATGTAAGGCGCTACGTGGTGGTTTACGGCCTAAATGCAGTAAGGACACAGAGGAAATTAAGAACCGGCTGTTGCAAGAAGAACTTGCTAAGATGAATATTTTTTCAATCGGATCTTCTAAGAAAACCGACTGAACATCTCCACATCTGTACGACAATTCACTTCATAAATCACATTTTCTCACACTAGCGTATGCAACAGAGAAATGTTTTTTTTAAGTACATTTTACACAGAAATCACAAACAATGTGCCTATGTTCCTTTTTTTAGACACAAGACATTCAAGTGTATTGTGCATTTGTAGTGACGAAATATCCACTTTCCCACACACCACTGGCCGGTCGTCATATCATCATCCACCCACTGCAAAAGCTGCTTTTCAAGAAATTGCATTGCAAATACAATTCTTACCTCAACCAAGAGTCCATTTCGTATTTCTCTCGATTACATTGGCTGGGTTGTCAGAGGTAGTTGGGAAGGAGCGTGGCACATCTAAAAACTTAGCTGCAGTGCTTTTCCCCTTAAAAACCGCTTTTGATTTTGGGTCGATACGAGCCCCCCCCCCTTACGACCCCCGGTGCGGCGTGCCGCACCCCCCGCTTTACCCTGGTTGTATACCAGGGTTATCAGGCATGCTGATTTCGATGCTCAACTTTTCACGAGTTTGTAAAATTTTCAGTTGGTGTATTCGCAATTTCAGCGAGCATTGAAATGCGGGTATTGCCGTTTACTTGGCATAACTTATAAACGAAACATTGCGGCAAAGTGCAAAGTCTGAATATGTTTAGTGTCAGCGGCTCTGACAAGCCTTGTTAAAGAATTTCAGGGTGTTTAGTCTGTTTTTTGAGGCGGAATGAGGCCTCCAGTGGCTCAAATTTCTTCTTGACTTCCTAGCATAATTCTACACTAACAAAGAATGTTAGCGATTCGCTCCATACTGTTGGTCCAAGTTGAAGCCCTTTCTATTGAACTGTACTTGAAGGTGACTGCCAATGTGACATTACAAGTGCGTATTGCTTCATGATGTTACGATGTCATGAATCAAATTATTATACAATAGAAGAAGAGAGTTGCATTTTGATTATGACTTCCTGCAAAAAGGTTTGATGCTTGTATTTCTAGCCATTTTTATGGAACTTTGCTTCCTTGCATTTTTCAAACTCATGCAAACAGGAGACTGGTCGAAGCTTGTCAGCTTTCTTCACTTTCTCCTCAAAGATGAGCACAGCGAAGTTGGCAAAATGTGACTGATTGTGAGTATGCTGCACGTTAGCATACCACACTACGATAGTATATATCTGTCCCTCAAATACCCCCACGTGATTAGTTTATTTTGTTACTCTAGTTCTATGCGAAGGTAGCTCCTCTACTCCACAGAAATTGCATCTAGGTACGAGAATGGCTTGCGGTGCTCCCCCTCCCTTTCCATCCTCATTCTCAGTTTCACTTTTCACTCTTTTTGTAGTGAAATTTGTCTGAGGTAAGCTAGCACATCTTACTGCGATACTTATTCTTAAATATACTATATCAGATTGGCGGCCTTATTATCATACTAGCTGGCGATTCCGGCTCCTCCCGGCACTGTCAATAATGATTTGTAACCAGTATGCTCGATTACCCCCGTGTGATAATTCCCAACCTCGTAGGTGAAACCTTGCAAAAATCGATATCGATACCGATCGGTAACGGAAAGTACCTAACCAGACACTCGTAAGACACCCGTACCGCCCTGAAATGAATGAGCGCCAAGTTTGGTCCAGATCGTCTCAAAAATGAAAGTTTCTATTTGTAACATAAAGAACGGCATAACATAAAGGTAGACGAAGGTACGAGATGACCTTTAAATCAACTGGCTTGGCGGCTGGAAAGCGTTGCTTTGTGTCCTGATTAAGGCTGCGTTCATACTGATCCCGAAGTCCAGGAACAGTTCCAGCACAACGCTCAGTTCGAGCGCTGTGCTGGAACTGTTCCCGAGCTTCGGGATCAGTATGAACGCAGCCTAAGGCCGCTCGAGCCCGCGACGCAGTGTGCGTCTCTCCCGCGCGCATGCTTTCTGATCATTACCTAGCCTAAGTTTGGTCAAGAAGCCCCCCTTCTACCCACCAAGCCAGTTGCAAATGGTACATTTAAAACACAGCTTAATCATACAAAATGTCGATGTTTTTCCAAGTTATAATGCACTGCTAATTAATTTCTCTTCGATTTCGAAAGTTAGTTGGATGTCTTGCGGTTCGAATAGCATCGTAAAGTTTACGAATACTTTCTTTTTGGAGCTTAATTCAGCATTAGGTCCAACGTTGTCTTCTTCCATGGCTTTTTCATTGCAGTCGGATGGCGCAGGTAGCTTGACGAGGCGCTGCGGTGGCAGTGCTTCTTATTCTCTTCCACTCCCACCTGCAAAATTCTCAATAATTTACTCTTATGCCTTACTAAATTACGTCAGTTTACTAGTTCATCCAAGTCGTGCAAGTAAAAAAAGACGCACGTTAGCTTGAGCACGGTTGAAAGGAAAAAAAACAAATGTAGAAAAACCCCTCATTAGGATTAGCATTTCTCGACTATTGCCCTTTCCATGGATTCTAGGAGACAACTGGGATAAGCTGCTCAGTGAATAGTGTTATGGTCGCATTTCAAGCTCTATAACAAGAGGAAGCAGAAAGTCTGGAAATTAGATATGGAAGTCTTCGCTCTTATAATCGGTGTGTCACTTCCTATTTTGAAGTACTGGAATTGGCTCCACTCATATCCATTCACATTCGTTTCGATTAATGTTGTGCGTTTTTAGCACTCCGCTTTACATTGCTTGCATGCTAACGAAGTGGCGATGCGAAACAAAATGTATGTGTTAGATGCTTCTTTGTCTGTATGTCTGTATGTATGGTTCATTCTTGAAATCGTGACGTCGAGTTTGACTGCGGTCTTTGCGCACACTGGGGCATAAGACACCCATACACACAGGCATTAACTCAACGCCCAGCTCATTTATTTCCAGTGTCTGATTACTATCATACGTAAACAGAAAAAAAACATACGTGTAGAGATAGAAACCATGGAATGAAAGTGCGTGCGTGTCGCGCGCGGTCGCGCCATCGTCAGATTTTTCGAATGCTCTGTATGTACGTATGTTCCGAATAGAAATTTTTACGTCTGAACCAATTCGGACCAAGCTTGGCACACATGCATTTCAGGGCGGTGCGGGTGTCGTAGTTTCTTTTCCGTTATCGAGCGATATCGATTTTTATCGGTTTTTTGTAAAGTTTGACCTGCGGGGCTGGAAGATAGCAAGCAATCAATAATTTGTAATCAAGCATGCTGATTACAAATGCAGTATTGGTTTTTAGAATCGTCTAAAACTTCTATTGATTTTATCGATTTCTTTGCAAAGTTTGGGCTACGGGGCTGGCTGTTGGCACAGGGGGGTAATCGAGCATGCTGATTATGAATACAATATTAGCTTTTGAAATCATCTGTTAGCTTTATCGATTTTATGAATTTTTGCGAAGTTTGAGCTACGGGGCTGGGAGTTGGCACAGAGTAATCTGTGATCAACACACCGAGAATAGGAAATTGCATGTAGAAGTGGGCACAGGGAAAGGTTGTACAGAGATGCGAATGGAACTTTATTATAGTGTTTTGACAGGGCCGGGCGGAGTCGGGTAAGCCAGCTAGTACACTGATAAGGAGTGATCTTCGTTACGAATACAAGAGAGCTGACTTCATTTATTTTCGCGACCAAATTAATCATGTTTGAAAACCACGTTCTTTAGAAGCTAGGAAACATCGGGAAATGTAATAGGTAATCGTTTGTAGAACTTGTGAGGTGATTTGGCCTGCTTATTACGGACATCATACACAATTCACACAAAAAGTCTCTTTGGTGACCCTACGGTATGTGTAAAGTAAGATGGAATGAAATTTGGCTGAGATATCGTTAGTCGAGTTAATCAGCATGTTGTTTACGACAGTCATTCCTCTGGTGGAGTTATGAGATTCACGGTTGAGCGCTTTTTTTCTTCACCTTACTCGATCGCAGTAGTTCCTCAATTTTCTGAACCAATATGCTTCTTGATTACGACCCTTCCTCGCTCTTACCCCCATACGACCCCTAGGTCGGGCGCGCCTGATCTCACGCTCAACCCTGGCTATAATGAAAAAGGCCTTATTAGGGCGGACTTACCGGAAAGCTTTATATTGCGGCCTTACGTGGGTCAGAAAAGAGGACTTATCTGTAGGAATTTTAGAGTAGTCCAAAAACATGTTACCGGTGATCGCTTGCATTCATTTTAATTACACTCAACACCATGCCAAATACACTTTTGCAAAGTATACTTACAAGCATATTCTGTACTAGCTGGCAAACCTGGCTCCATCCGGCCCTGTCAGTAACAATACTTTCGTAATCTATAGGGCGGATATATGGGAAGACTCTATAAGGCTAAACGGTACTTTTCCGTTATCCGGACCCACGTTTACTAAAGCCTCCCATATTATACGTTCTTTAGTCTGTCAAGTGTACGAGTTAATTACTCTCGTCACTTGATCCCTCTACCCTTAGTTTCATGCCTTGTACTAACATAACAATTCTTGATAGATTCTTTATCGTTATGACATTATAGATTCAAAGTGGGGGAACATAATTGGGGAGGGGACCACAGAGCACCCGGGGAGTGCCAGCTCAGCTGAAGTTGGTGGCACCGCCCAAGTCGGCGAGGGGACTGTCGGACTCTAATTAGTCTG